TTCTCTTTTAAACACCGTGTTTTTTTTTTTTAGGTCAGAACGTATGTGCTAACACTTTAGATTATAATAAGAAGTGAAAAAGCCACAAGTTTCTGCTGAACTTGCAAGACGGAACTGACTTTTCCCAGTAAGTCAATCTGTGGTGTCCAAACTTTTGCCATCAGAGCCAAAATTATTAAGTGGAAAGCACATGGGGCTTATATTTAATATTTTATTGGCTCTACAATAAACAAAATAAAATGCACAATTTTATTTGAATCAGCAAATTCTGATTTCTATTGAAAACAAATCAGTAGAACCCAGGGTTTCCCACAGAAAACTTGCTAAACCCGGTGGTTGTTGCTGTCGGCAGTCATTCACGCATCCGTTGCATTTTTGAGTTAAAAATGTTTAAAGTTGACAGGAAATTTGAAAATATCACTTGTTAATTATTGGAAGATTAATGCTTGAATGCAGATTATACAGTCTTAAAAATACAAACATAAAAAAAACCCAAAAATAAGGAAGCGGTTTCACTCTCTGCCACAGTGAAACTGTTGTAGATACAAAACATTAAAAAGGTCTTACAATATTACAGTAGAATAACACAGGTCCACAATTACATTTTGTGGCTTATTTGTTTCTTATTTGTGCTCCAAGATCTACTTTTGAGAAAAAGCAGGTCTTGCTACTGCAAAATTAAGATAAATGCAAAAACTTCGTTAATAAATGGGAATCTATTTTTGCCAAGAATATTTTATAAGATGTTAGTTATCTATGATGAAAAAAGTTGCCCTAAAAGATAAAAACATGTCCATCAAAATCAACCGACTATGCTTACAGGCCAGGTTTGCTCATTTATAGAATTGAGGTTGAGGGGCCGCACAATATCCTTCAGAAAGCCGCAAATGGCCCTGGCCCGCACTTTGGACACCCCTGTATTAAATCCTGTTTATTGCTCGCTGTCATATGACCTAAAACCAGCTCTATAGATTCAGTAAACATCCTGATGTGATTCTTAAAAACCTGAAGGGTTAGTTCATTTCTCAAGCTGATGCCAGGGACCCTTCAGCTGCACCTTGGCTGCTCTTTTCTCACGCAAGGGCTCCATCGGCTTCCACGGAAAGCCGTTTTGTGCTACATTATATCTCTGGTGTTATTTCTGTTTCAAAAACACACATTTACAGATAAAAATAAAGTTTGCATGCATTAGCATGACCTATGACTTCTTTTTTTTTCTCTGGGAAGCCAAGAGTTGCACACAAAGCGAGAACCTCTGCTTGCAAAAAATATCCTACTTCCTTTGTGTGAAAACCCGATTTACATTCACAAAAAAAATGCAGCTGCAGCAACACCTCTTTCCAGTATGGTGCTTGAATTACTTTTTCTGGGTCGAGGGGTGGGGATGCGTGTGCTTTATATTCTGTGTGTATGTATAGACGGGAGCATGCTTCTCCAGAGCGCTCCTTCCTTTTAAGGCCATTCTCAGGCTTTATCTGTCCGTCCTGCCAAGACTAAACACCCAGAGAAAAGAGAGGGAGCGTGGTCGGAGCAACAATGCAACTGGCTTACTGCACAGCAAAGAGTAGGGTCAATTCTGCCAACACACACACACGTATCACTCTGGCTCTATCATCAACCGAATTACCTCACGCACATGGTTAGGGCTGCAGCTGCCTGACGAGCTGAGGGCTGCTAAATATAAAAGGCTCAAAAACACACACGCGCGCACATGCTTGCAACAGCTTTCCTTGCAAACCCCCATGCAGAGACCCAGCCTGGCTCGTCCCGTCTGGAAGTACGTCGGGCTTTAAACCCAATGTGAGGAGTCAAGCACGGGTTTTAGACTCAAAGGAAGAGAAAGAGAAAACATCCTGCTGTGTGGTGTGAGATGAGGGGAATCTAACTCTTTGAGAAAATGCATATAGGTCAAGAAAACCTGAGTTTCTCAACGTGGCTGTGTCATATTTGCAGGGTAAGTAGGTTTTTATTAGCCACTGATTCAGAAGCAGAGACGTTGTGCCTGGCTGAAACCAACCCCAAACAAACAGGAAAGAGTGTGGGAGGTATAGCTACACACCAAAGGGTAAAAGAATGCATAAAGGTTGCTGATGCTTTGATGTAACTCAGCACAGAAATGCCACACTGGGAAAAATACACAGCTAATTTCACTTTTGTTTTTTTGGTCTTTTGTTAGCTATCAACGAAAGACAAAAAAGATAAACTCCAAACCCAACCCCTGCTTCCTGATGCCTTCTCACCTACATCTCTCTGGTCTCATTTTTGGCATTTAACATTAAATGTTTGGGGTTTTGACAGTTGAACCACACTGAACTGTGACTAGACAAGTTTAGAGCGAACCCCTCTCCTGCTGTTAAAACATCAAATCCTCCACAGAAGGCAACAACGTAACAAAAACCACCTGAAAAATGAGCAGCTTTTCTGAGGCAAAGCTAAATTTCATTGCAGCTTTTTTGTCATGTGGCGAACTGTGCAGCAAAGCACTGAAAACCAAACAATAACGGGGCAGAGGAAAAGGTTGGTGTTTGTAAAAAAGGAAGAGTGGGGGGAAACCCTGCAACTAAAACAGCTGGAAACAGGAAGTGACTTTTTCTGCCTTCTTCATGTTTGTGTTGATTTTAAGGGGGGTAAGCAGCAGCATTCTCTGGCGAAGTTATACTAACAAGCCCTTTAAAGGGTTTCTGTGGGTTTCCATCTTATTGACACACACAGATCTGCAGCCTTATCTCGCTCAGATATGAAACGCAAGAAGAGGAACCCGACAGATGCTGAAGGGCTTGGTGGCGTGCGCTTCTGAGAAGTAAAAGAACTTTTTGAGAAATGCCGACGCAGAATTCGATCAACCATAGTCCTGTGAGACATCTGCACTGAAAACAGCACAAACAATCAATTATCAGATTCTGGCGACGAAACCCAAAAGGTGCTGTGGTGTTGTTGAACACCTGCATGTCTAACCTGAACTAGACAGATAAATGTGTGAGAAGGCGGTTTGAGATTTGCGTTGCAAGCAAATCTGTACAAAAATCACCATGAAGCTTAAAGTAATGTGAAGTCTGTGCAAAGACTTCACTGATTTAGCTACAAGTCTTTGTAGCTAGTTAAACCTATATTTTAGACTCACTACGTTTGAGTAATGGCCACGTTCAAGATAAATAAACTTGAGAATAACCACGTCAGACGGAAAAAGCTCAAAGACACCTGCAGCGAGTGTGAAAAGCCTCAACATGCCTGTCAATGAAAACACGCATCTTGTAATTGCAGAAGTGGGATTTACTGGCAACAATGCCAATCACCTTCCTTCATTTTCAGAAAGGTTTTACTGTAAGTCACCCTGTATGGATTTCACAAGCAGCTGATTGCTTTAGACCGACTGACGCAGCCCTAAGCATTTCCACATCTCTTGTTGTTTCTTGAAAAACCTGTGAAGCATGTTTCATGTCATGAAACCACCAACCTAAAAATGTAGTGGCGTGAGAATATTTTCTTGTAATTTTCTGTAAAAGCTGCCATGTTTGAACCACAAAATGAATTGTATTTAATTGGGATTTTATTTGAATTTGGAATAAGGAAATAAGTTTTTCAATATTTTGCCCATCGTAGAAACTTTTAAAGAGGCGTTCATGGACATTAAGTTGGGAAGCAATTACAGTTTTCTGGGTTGATCACAAATATTTAAGATTCAGACTTAGATCGATACTCATATTGCTTTGCTTGGAAAGTTGCCACATATACCCAGAAAGTTGGCAGCAACGCACCTGCAGTCATGGCTTGGTGACGTTTGTGTCAGTCAAATCTCACTGCAGAGCAAAAGAGGACAGTGGCTGATTCTCACACCTTTGCTGAGGTAGATAAGATTAGAGGATAAGATTGGTTTCTCATGTAAGTATCAGCCACAACCCCTGAACACATCAACTCCGTGGTGAATCTTGGTAGCAGCAGAATCATAATGTGGGGGTCCTTTTCTTCAGCGGAATGAGAGAAGCTTGATAATCTATATCATTTCATTTCAAATAATATAACATTTAACATTTGAACTATATTTAACAGGGACTTTTATTGATCCATTCTGCCACAACCAGCTCTTTCAAGATACATATGATGGCCCATATTTAAAATGTGTTTAAATGAACTAATTAAAATTAGTTTGATTCGATGGTTTAGAGGCTGCTAAAGTCCTGAGGATTCACCTTCCAGCTGGACAACGACCCAGAACGTAAAGCAAGAACTACAGCAAAATGCTCTACTTCAACTTTGACTGAGCGTGATCTGATTTACCAATAAAAACCATGCTTTATTTTCACTTGGAAGTGAAAAAGGCTTCAAACAGATGCACAATTATACAGCCGTAGATCTTTGAAAAGCATAAGTTGAGGCTCCTGTGCAACCAACAAGAATGCAATAAGCGGTTTCTGAACGGTAAGTAATACAGCAGTAAAACCAAATGACATGCTGGAGCTCACCTTGTGACGGGTTTTGCTGGGTTGTCACGTTATACTCAGAAGGCTTTTCTAGATACCAAACAACTTATTGCCAAAAAGTGTCTTCATCATTTTATTAAGTGTCTAGGGGATGGGCAACTCCAGGCCTCAAGGGCCGGTCTCCTGCAACTTTTAGATGTGTCTCTACTTCAACACACCTGAGTCAATGAGGTAATTAGTAGGACTCTGGAGAACCTGACTGCACTTTGGAGGTGATTCAGTTATTGGATTCAAGTGTGTTGGACCAGGGAGACATCTTAGACCGGTGTCCTTGAGGACACCGGTCCTCAAGGACCAGGATTGCTCAACCCTCTGCTGTTTTTAGAAGCAGCAGAGACTCCAAAAGAAGTTTAAAAAATATGTGAATGCTGCATAAAACATCCCCTTTAAAATCATGGTAATATATTTTAAGATAGAAAGTAAGATGTGGAGAAATTCACATTGAAATTCAGATGTGAGTTCTATCCTATGTTATGTGGCGACAACAGGCGCTGAACAGATGGTTGGGAATATAGGTCCTACCTTTGGGGGATCGTACAGCTCCAGCTGGTACCTCTCGCTTTCTGCTCTGCCCCCTCCACTTTGAGCGTCTCTGATCCTCCTGACCAGCAGGCGGCAGCGTTGCCAGTGGGGCTGAGAGTCCGAGATAGTGTCATCCACCAGCAGGTACTTGAGCTGGCCCTCCTTGCAGCAGTCGCTCCTGTCCAGCCTCCGGAGCCGCATACTTTTGCTGCGTAACCAACGGAAACCCTTCAGGAAATGCGAGACGACTTTGGGCCGGTGCAACGCGGCCAGATCCTCTGAGTTTTGAAAAGAGAACGATTGGGAGGAAGAGGATGAGGACGAGCCTTCGTCCACTCTGTCGCCGTTGTTTGAGGAGCTGTTGATGGCGGTGGCGGGGTTGGGGTTGCTAGGAGACAGGTCCTGGGAGGAGTGGGAGCTGCGGGATTGACTTTTCTGGAAAAACCGCTGCACTGTCTTTTGGATCTGCGTGACAGGGAAATGCGTGACGTCGCCGTGTCCTCCAGAACCCGACACCGAAGAGTCCGAGGAGTGGCGCTCGGTCGGCTGGTGACGATCAGCAGTCGAGATCTCGTCATTGCTGCGGCTCTGAATCAGCAGCGACCCACCGCTGACACTTCGCAACCCGGAAAAGGAGTTTCTGGCAGCGCATCTCAGCGGCAGCTCCGGCTCTGGACTCACCACTACCGGCTCCACTTTCGGTACCGCGGATATTGACGCGGCTCCTCCGCTTGACCTCTTCGCCTCCCGGTAGTCCTGTGACAAAGTCGAGTGCCGCAGCTGGTTAATCAGGGCGTGTGGCGAGGGAGCTGTGGCGGAGGCGCTTCCGGAGGCGCCATCTTTGTCGACTTCCTGGCAGAAGTGCTGCTGGAAGAGGTTGGTGAAGTGCTTGGAGAAGGTTTCCGGCGGGACCAGTTCATGCTGCGGGCGCTCACTGGCGAAGCTCCGGTAATATCCAGCCAGCTGCCGGGCGGTGGCGATGGCATGCAGCTCACAGAACTCCCGCCAGCCTCTGGGTGGCGCCGCTATGCTCTGACCTCCTCCTGCTGAAGTGGTGTTGGCTGGATGGATAGTGTTACCATTCATTGCAGTAACCAGACTGGCAGAGAATCACTGCAGAGACACAGAAAAACACAAATTAATTGAGAACATTTTGAGGAGAAACTTACAGGACTGCAGCTACCGATTATTTTACTAATCCATTATTCTTACTACTAATTGATGAATCAGGCAGAAAGAAATTAGCACATTCTGCTGATTTTTTATGTTACCCTCTTATATCTTGTCTATACAATAGTAGGAACTCACAAAGAATTCAATTCCTTTTTAAAAAAAGAAAAATTTTACTGCATAAAATGCAACAACTTTGCATTTTCTTAGCGAACAATTTGTAGCAAAAGTTGCATCTGCAGCTAAAAATATCAATACTTTGCTTTGTAGCCAGTATTTTCTACTGTAAGAATATCTTACAGTGCAAAATGTAAAAGTTTGTCTTTTGGATATGGCTGACATATTGTCCTAAAATATCATTTAGGACACAGTAAAATTTTTATGTTGTCCTAAATGAAAACATTAGGCCTCCGTTTACATTAAACACATAATGGGATCCATTTTTGCGCCACTCTTGAACTGAAGTCAGGGCCCGCACATGTTTAATGCAGGGGTCACAAATGGCCCCCAGGCCACACTTTGGACACCCCTGCTCTAAAAAGTTGTAAAGTTTTAGTGTATCCATAGTTGAGGCTCACTGAGCACAAACAACATGCAAATAAATTGCAGTGATAATCAAGAGTTTCATCATTTGTGGATAAAGGGTCTGACTATGGTTCTTTGTATTGGTGCATGTGTTGCTTTTACCCCATTTCATCTTGTCACACAACTACAGCGATTGAAAATCTTTACTGCAAAAGTAATTGGGGAAATACTTTCTTTTTAGAAGTTCTGAAACATTTATGTGTGACAAAAAAAAGGAAAAACAGCAGGAATTTCCATCTGTAACTGGGCAAATTAATTTTTAAGAGCACTGTATTTTAAAAAAGAACAAAATATAACTAAATATATACAGTAAAAATGGTGTAAACAACACTGCACACCAAGAATTAACAAAAAAAAAAAAATTTTGCTGGTTAAAAGTTGAACCACTGGTCCAAACAGGCTGATTTTAATCAGTGCCCAGACTCTCAGTGGCACCAATTAGATTTCAAGGCTCTGAGCAAAAAATCTTAGTCGATCAACCATAGATGGGTCTTGTAGATAAAAGCATGACCAAAGTTCACTGAAAAGACCGACTGAATGAATGAAAAACTAGAAAACAGAGAAAATAAACGTTTGGCGAAGCTGAACTGAGAGAAGTATTTGACATAATTGATAGGAATAGGTCAGACAGTGAATGAGGCGCTGATTGAGAAAGTAAAATTAAAAACTTCTCAATCAACCACACTGCACGCAGAACCATCTGTGTGTTTCTGTTTTTGCATGTGACCCGTTTCAGTTTTCCTTCTGCTTTCTCACCTCCAAGTGAGTCAGTGTTGCCTTAAAGCAGCAGACATCAAAACCACAACATAAAATAAAGCCTTTTAAACATGCATCCTTTTCTCATGCATCTGGGTTTTTTCTTTTCCAATAAGAGTTTAGGATTTCATTTCTTTGAAATAACAACATAATTTGTTGTTGTTTTATTCTACACAATCAGCAAGAATAACTAAAAAAATGTCCCAAGACAAAGAAACTGGGGGAGGAAGTTGTAGTTTTATATTAACAAGCTGAAATGGGTTTTTAAGAACAAGAAACTGCAAAATTGTTCAGGCCTTTTCTCACTGGGTCACAGTACAAATTTTGGTGAGTTTTATTGGGACTTCACAAAGCAAAACCAGCAAGCAGTGGGAATTTCTCAAATCGTTTATTGTGACTGAAATATTTTTAATCATGATGAGAATTCAAATTTCAATGTGACAACGATTAATTCCTATTGATGACGTTCAAAAATGGATTGATGAATAACTTTTTTAACTAGGTACTAATATTTCAGCGTACTTGTTTCCTGCAGCAGAAAAAGTTTTGGACGACAAAACTGGAGAGACTACTCATTATTTGCATGAAAGACATAAACGTCTTTTTATTACTTGTTTATGTATCTCAGGTCATGTTATCACATTTACTGATATAATCATGTACAAGATCTTTTCCTAATATTATGTAGCCTTACATGGCTTGCTGATTTGCGTTTTACACATGAAAAACTGTGTAAAATGTGCATCACAACAAAGATCGTTGTGAAAAGCAAGGAATACAGTAGACAGGTCAAATATAAAATTGTGATGAATTTTAAATCTTTAAATTATCAGTTCATCCAATAATGAAAAAATATGGCGTAACATCAAACCATCTGAGCTTTTTCTGCTGTGACAGTCCAGCCCAATCTCACAGAGCAACACTGAGTCGATCCAGTATGTCACAGCTCCCAATCTACCAGGACATGGTCATAAACCTAAACAGACAGGCTGGGCAGGGAGAGCATTAATTAAAGCAGCAGTCCGGAGCTAAGGTTGGACAATCTGTCAACAGCACAATTATTAGCCGGCCCTCCACAAATCTGGCCTTTATAGACGTTTGGCAAGCAGAAAAAAACTCTAAAAATCCCATAGATTTTTTTTCCCCATAGACTTCTGCAAAAAGCAATGCAGAAGTGTACAACAATTATGTAGAAGACGATGGGAAAATAAAAAACTAACACTCCAAGGGAGACAATAATTAGCTTTATCAAGCTAAATGTGGGAAAGAAGCTGTTGGAGGAAGCAAAAGAATTCAAACTGGGGGCTGAAGCTTCTCTTCCAGCAGGAAAATTATGAATTTACAGCCAGACACCAATATACACATGTATCAGCATGGCTCAGTCAAAAGTCTTAGAGTGCATTCACGCCAGCCCTGTTTAGTCCAATTTAATCTGGCTAAAAGCTTTTTTTGAATAGAAAGTTTTCTTGGGGAGGTGTGAATGCTTAATCAAACTGTAATGTGGTCCAAAGTCTGTTCTGCCTAAAAACCTAGGTCTTGGTTCAGTTGAAATGAAATGGTGTAGTTTGAAAGTATGTGTGAACACCAAGCAGAAAGTGGACTATAGCCCAGGGCATTCTGGGTAAATACAACCAAAACAAAGTCTAGAGAAATCCTACAACCGTTAAAATCAGACGGTACTTCAGTTTTGTTTATATTTTGACCAGAGGGAAGTTGAGCTCGCCTTCTTTAGAGGTTTTTCTGTTCCTTCCTTCAGTGGTTCCAAGTGCAGCGCCCCCCACAGGCAAGGAGGTGAACAGATTCAGATTCAAAAGAGAACTGCCTCAGCTGAAAATGTCACCAATGTTGAAATTTTAGTTCACGATCAAAGCAAGTCTTCCAAGACTATGAGGTGGGAAAACACCTTTAAGCTAATTTGTGACAAATCTTACAAACAGCTATTCACAATCCTGAGTGAGCTCAAGCGATTTAGCAAAGAATAAAGAGCATGATTTTCAGTCTTTTCATGAGCAAAACTTTAACAAAAGTTGCATCTGTATTAAATTAAGGAGAATGAGTACAAATGTACACACTTTGAAAAAAAATCTCTCAAAAGATGTATAGTCAGCAGAATTACAAACCGTTCAGTCAACCAAGCAAATGTGACTGACTGTTGTCCAGTAACTATAAATATCCGGTTTTCGGCAGTTGTTTCTTGTTTTTATTATTACTTTTTAAAAGATTTTTATGCATGAAGTACAAATTAGTTTTTTCTTAACCAATTATTATGATAAAAGTATAAAAACGATCCTAATGTCCACTGAACAGATATAAACCAAGTTTCAATCAAAGGCTTTCTTATTATGAAGCACCATTTTATTTTACGGTTTCATGACATAAAATATTGTAAAATTTTGGAAGCAATCTGATCCAAAAACACCTCAGTTCTCTGCTGTTACCCTCTTCCAGTGAACATCAAAACACACTTACAGCTAAACCGCTGTAGCACTGAAAAGGATTCATTCTGTGCCAAGAAGCTTTTATTAACACAGGAAGCATTCATGTGTGTGCAAGGTTTTGTGAGCGAAGGATGATGGGAGTTGGGGGGGTTAAATACTGGGTCCAACATATCACAGAAACCCACAAGAAACAGGGGGGAGGGTGTGAGAGGTGGTGGCAGGGAAAGGGGAGTCGTTGTGGTTGAGACAAACATGGAGCAACTTGTCTCGTTATCTTGTGGCTGACGTTCGCAGATGAAAACTTGTTAAATCTTGGTACATAGTCTCTTAATAAAGCCAGAAAGTTTTCCTGGTGCGGCAGCGGTGGGTCTACCGACGGTCCGCGTTCGTCAATGAGGCTGGGCAAACTTGCCATCACGAAACATTGCATCACCACGGTTCCTGGATGTGTGCTGTCACAACAACCAATTCCCTTCCTGTAGTTTTCGGAGCATGCTCAGTGAGCGCTCACCCCCCTCCAGCTGGCCTCTCCCCCCCACCGCGAGAACCTGTTTCTATCTGCCTGGCCAGCCCAGCGATGACTCAGCATTGACCCACTGCAGAACATACACATACACTCATGCACAGACGCACACTTCCTCTTGTTGTATCCCTCGGGCCCGTCTCTGTTCCCAGGGTTTTCTCCTTTTTCTTTTCATCCTCTCGCCTCTCTCTGGCATGAGGATCGCCAGATGTGATCGGATCCTCGCTTCCCTTTATTTTTACCTCAACTGAGGGCCAGAGGGAGAACAAAAAGAGGCTAAAACTGCTTTGTTGTTCTTTCTCCGCTGTTATCCTGGAACTCTAACCCTAAGTTGATCCTTGGTTGCCGCTTTACGGTTCTGTGGAACAACGTTCAGCAGGAGATCAAACGACATAGGCAAGTCCAAACAAACTGGAAAACACTCCATCAGGACATGAGTCAATGCTTCAGCATTCTTTACTTTCTTTCAACCTCATCTTCCTCTCATGTCTTTCATGCCACTTAAAGTAATTTGACAGCTAAAACACCATGAGGAGTCATTGAAACTCTGCATGGGGCAACTTATGGATAAGCTGTCAAACACTTAAATCTGCTGCAGTTCATCAGACAAGAAGAAATAAATGTAGCCTGACCAAGTCACC